TGCCTTGGGCCCCCAAATAGCTAGGCACGGCCCTGGTGATAATCAGTTGATATACTCAACACAAGACAATTCGTAGATAGATACTAAACTTTCAAGAACACATGGTCGGTCTTGTGCAATTAAAGATAAAGATAGTAGTTCTAGAGAGATTGGATAGACCAGGTAAGTGCAATGTCTCATTCATTTGCCGAGCGGATAATTCTAGAGTATCTTCAGAGTCTTTACGACTTTGATGTTTTGGCAGTATGATATACGACCATTGGGATTTGCGCAGTGGTTTGCGTGAGCCCAAGCAATCCAACCCAAATTTCCAGACACTTCTTACATCGCTCTCGAAGTCCTTTTGCAGGGCAAATTTTGAGGTGCTCCATCAAGCACCTAGCACGGACGCATATGTGCATATTGCAAGGCCGACCATTAGGGTGGCTGGCTCCGAAAGAGGAAAAACAACTTTCAAACCAAAAAATACACACATGATTCAAGTTTTTCTAATAGGAGATCATGTTAAGACTTGCATCATAATCTTTCTTGTAGGACATGGCGTTGAGACAGTAGTGAATTTCTAGAATAGCAAACCTTCCTCCATTTACATAGCAGTTTTGGCAGAATTTGAACTTGCAATCATCAATCTCACAGTAAGCACAATCTCGATCTTCTTGTTTGCAGAGAGGGCATTTGCCAATCACATGTTTTCGCACCGACTTCAAAGAAACCGACCAATTTGTAATTTAGCACGACAATGAAACACAGAAAAAAAAAGAAAAGTAAAAGGATAAACACAAAGAAACATTACCGCAAATGTCACATTTGCAAACGAAATCGGATCCATCTGTAACAAAGACGAGAGTTTCGGAGGAGAGAAAATCTAGGAGAGAGCTCAAATCACCGATGAGAGAAGGAGATTTCGGTATCGCTTTAGGGTTTCATCTTCTTGGTATTTTTACATTAATAAATAAGGAGTAGAATCTACTGACAACAGAAAAAAGCAGTAGAATCTACTGACAACAGAAAAAAGCCACCACTTAGCCCAATTAATGGCCTGACCCATTCTTCCTTTCTATTGTTGTTCCCAATCCGATTTTATTCCAATTTATTATTGTGTTGTAGCTCTCTCGATCACAGTTCACAAAATTGTTGCAGATGGATCACAATTCACAAAATTTAG